GAATACTACGCTGCATTGAAAAACAAGGAACTCATGCAATATTATTCAAAATGGGTGACCCTGGAGGACATTATGCGGAGTGAAGTATCTCAGTCACAAAAGGACAATACTGCATGGTGCCACTATTGTAAAACAGGACTGACATTGGGATTGGGAGGAGACTGAGAAGGATGGGTTCAATAATGTATACTGCATTGAAGCAGATGACGGAGAAAACTGTTTAAAAGAGATATGTGATTAGGTAGTGGGTAGTGTGTGTACTGGGGGGGAAGGTTGGGAGGGAAGAAAAGTGCAATAATGAATGAATGGAAATCCAAAGTCTCTGTAAATTTTCATCGAAATTAATAATAAATTAAAAATAATTTTAAAAACCCAAAACAGTATAAATGTAACTTTGAACCTCATAATAAAGCTTTCTTATTAATATGTAATTTTTGAGATTTTAAATGGTACTATAATAACCCATTACCTACAGTTAAAATATAGAAGATATATTTTATTTTTTTGTGATTTTAACAAAAGTTTACAGAAAAATTGGATTTTCATTCATTGCAAAATTTTTCTTCCCCCATTCCCCAGTCCACTTTGCAATGCACTTCACTCTGAACTGTTGTCATACATATAATGCTTAATCATATATTCCTTTTAAACATTTCTTTCTCTCATCTGTTCCAATGCAGTGTTCATTATCTATCCATTATTTTCCTAGTTTACCCGTCACCCCCCATGTCTGTCCTGCTTTATAACAGTGGTGTTATATAGTATTTGCAGAAAATATATTTTAAAAAAGAAAAGATAAAATAGTTATCTAAATAAAGTAAAAAATCTGAGGCAATGTTTGTTTACTTAATGCTATTTTTGTGAAATAATTTTTCTACTTTATTTTTATTTTATATTGGTTTGTGTAGAATTATTTTTAAAACACTTAACAACTAAATGAATTTCAACATTTCAATGACAACAACTGATTATTAGATGTGTGATCTCATTCAGTTATAGTTATACAGATATAATAACACACCACCGGTATCTGGTCATTAAAATGACTGGGCTGTTTGGATTTGCGACACGATAAAAGTTTTGGTTAATTAGATTTTAAATACAATCCAGTATCTTTTTTTATTCTTAACCAATTTGTACCCTCTTTTTATCTGTTTAATTATTTATCACTTCCTTACCTATAACATTTGATCAAATCTCTAGATAATTCTATTTGGAAATTAGCCCTAAATTTTACACAGGAACATTTAGATATGTTTTTTCTTTCTTTCTTTCAATGTCCTCATTTAAACTAATGCAGAATTTAGAGGCAGTCACAAGCTACTGACAAGGAATAAAGCAATTTAGGCTAGATAAAAAATGGCAAATTATTTCTGAAACTCACCTTTACCCACTCCTCTGGCTTGACATTTTTTAAAACCACATTCATCTCTGGTTTGTCCATGAGAATTTTTAGTTTGGCATGGTTAGGATCTTCACTAGTAGAGATTGTGATAGGAACCATCCATTGAGGACAGTCTTCTCCTTAAGCAAGGGAAGAACAAACAAAAAGTTGAAAAAGAATTTAACAGAAAGAAATGGAAGGTAAAGTGAACATAAAGAAGTGGTGTCTTAGTCAGCTTAACCTCTTCAGTTTAATTGTTAAGTCAATGGCTCATTTTAGTGATATATGAACTCTTACAGGTAATCTGAATAATCTTAGTGCAAAGAGGACAATAACAAAATCACATTACAGTCTCAAAAAAAGAATAGTTTACTAATTTATAAAGTAAAAAAATATAATAATTTTAACATAATCATTTTTTTATAGTATACAGTGACAGAATTTGTAGTCATTTTACTGTTAAAATATATTCTGAGTAGGTGAAAGCTCTCACACAGCATTTAAAAATAAAAGGAGGAAAAAGTGTAATCCTTAACAGGCATTATGTTGTTACTTGTCTTTGCATAGATTCAGATTCATGGTAATTTCATGTGTGAAAAACTGAATGGCTGGATTACGTTGTTGTGATGTAATGAATACATCCTAAGGGATTTTGGTTTTCAACACTGAAGACTTAAATCTAAAATCAAAAAAGCTTTTTCCTAAAGCAGATACACTGTCTTAGATGCTAGACAGCAAAACACATTTTGCATTAAGATGTCAAACAAAAGAGATTCACTGTTTAATACATTAATAGAGCTATTTTCCAAGTTAGAAAGCTTAATAATTATCAGATATCAGGATAAACCAGAATTCAAATCTCCTTGAAAGCTAGATACGTTAGGTTTTAAAATTACCTATGCTGATCACAGACCATTAAGAAAACCTGTAAAACCTGTCAGTCTCACAATATAGATTACAGGTATGAGGCAGAAAGAGCAACTGTCACACTTAGGGATTTGTCTGGATACTAAATCTGTCATCTGATTTATCAAACATATTCATGACAAGAGTATTTCTCAATAAGAGTGAAGGCTATACTTCTCAACTCCATTATTAAAGTCCATCAACTTTGGTGGCTGAACATGAAATGAAAAGGCATAATGTGGCTCTGACATATATATCTCTGATGAGGACCACTGTTTTAAAGGAACTGAGGAAGACAACAGAAAAATATTTCTTGATTTTTCATTTCAATGAATTTCTTGAGTAAAAGAGTCTAATGACATGTAGAAATATTTGGAAAAGCCAAGTAGAATGGCAGTTAAAAAAAGCTCAAACTCTTTAAGTGAGACTATATTGAGTTCTTACACTTAGGAAAGTAACTTTAAGCAATTTAACCCTGGTGACATAGCACAAAACATTTTGAGCTTCTAACCAAACATTCTTCTAGGTGATATAGCACTACTCTGTCAATGTGCTGTACAGAGGTAACTTGTGGTGGCTGTGATGCTGAACACTGTGACCCTGATGTGCCAAATGTGATATTGGTCACTCACAGCGGACAGTGTTTGGCGGAGCTCCCTGATTAAAACAAGCTTGGAAGCAGGAGTGGCACCCACTTCCGAAACAGCCAACTCGATGGCATTTAACAAAAACAACAACCAAAAGGTCAGCAGTTCAAATCCACCAGCAGCTGTTTTACAAAAGAAAGATGGGTAGTCTTTCCTTATAAAGATTTACAGTATAGGAAACTGGATGTAGGATTGCTATTATTCAGAATGGACTTGAGGCAGTGGGTGACTGTGCCTTCATTTGTAAAATGGGATATAATATCACTATGGCAGGTGAGAATATAAAATAACAGCCTGTGGCATCCACTTCCGAAACAGCTTGCCTCTGGAAACGCTATGAACTAGGAGAAATGATGAAAGTTATACAAGTGTTCAGGTCTTTCGTTCATAGGGTCGCTATAAGTCATCTACTACTGAACAGTACCTAACAACAACAACATAGCACTCAGGGAGCTCTGTACTATCAGCCCAAAGGAATGTGGTCTGAATTCAGCAGCTACTCCACTGGAGAAAGATGGGCACTTTCTTTTTGTGAGAATTACAGCCTCTTAAAACCCGCTGAAGGGTCAACTATGAGCTGGTTCCGACTTGGCAGCACACAACAATTAATACTGGTATATAGTACAATGACTTAAACTCACTGTTACCGAGACTAACCACTGGAGACACCAGGAATTTGGTAAACTGTGTAATATGCTAATAGTACAAGAGCTCCTTAATCTAATCACTGGCTGGATTGACTTACTTACTCCATGCAAAAATTTAATAATAATAATAATAACCCAATGACATAAACACATACTAAATCCTTTCTCAGGAATAAAGACTGGAGATATCCTTTCATGGGTGTTCTTACCATTCTTTACTCCTTATCGCCTCTGATAGCAGAGATAAGGAATTTTAAAAAACCTAACAACAAGAATGTTATAAAACACTACATTTAGTTAATGAATCAACCATTTTAGATTCCGAGATTTCAAATTTATCTTATAATTTCCTTAATTTAACTGTATTTAAAGTATAAAAAATGGGTAATTTTTTATTATTGTTCTAACTTTACTGTTACATAACCCAAATCCATTGACCAGCTCCCACTAAATAGCCACTAGCTTACCAACATATGGTCCACTGGCACAAAACTTCCTTTGGGACAACCTCAGTACTCTGTCATCTTCTACCTAAAGAAAGATAATAAAGGCTATAATATTTTTTGAGGGATGAGGGAAGAGTACAACATTTCTGTGACAAAGGAGACTAACTTTTATTTCAGTCAAATGGCTCATGAGGATGCAAAATACAATGGTGATGAAGAGAATAGTATGGAATAAGTGATGAGTCTCTGTTCCTCATTTAGTCCTCAATAAAAAGTCATGTTTCAAGTAAGATAACCTCTTAGAAGACATATATACAAAAAACTGGCACTGAGATGAAAAAGGTTTCCACAAGCTTTAAAGGAATAGTCAACATAACTAAGATGATAAAATTTATTTTAATTTTTATAGATGTTTAGCTTTTCTCACTTTCATGAAGTGGCAATATTAGGTAAGCATGTGGATTCAGTATTTCAGAATTCAATTTTTGAATGATTGATAAACATGAAAGAATGTACAAATCCTGTTAAAAGGATGACCTTTGTAGTGAAATACACACACACACACACACACACACACACACACACACGAAGTGGAGGTAAAAACTGTAAGTAACAAGCTAGGAATAACAATAGTATTTAAAACATGTGGCTTTTTTTGTTTCACATAGAGTTTGCTATTGTGCCTTAGAAGATTTAAAATAACACAAGATAACAGATTTATGATTACTTCAAATGTAAAATGATCTTAGTGAAATGTAAAATGGGCCGGTGACCTTCACAGATATAAACTGACTACAAAAGATACAACTGAAATACTAAGGTAGGTTGGAAAAATTGAGTGTTTCAATAATGCTGTGAGGAAGTAGGGTAATAATGTTCTCTGTTAACAATTATGCTCTTCCAATGTTCTCCACCTCAAAGAAAAGTTACTAGAATACGAGTCTGCTTTATACGTAACATTTAAATAATAATAATTTAATAATTTTTGAGGTGTTGCCTGGTTTTGGGGAATAAAACTCCGGAGGTAAAAGAAACAATCAATCATGTTTGCATGCTATTTCTCTTAAAAGAGGCAAATGGTCCACCAACAAATGAATGGAGAGAGAAGCTCTGGTATAGTCCCACAATAGAATACTATGCTGCATTAAAAAACAAGGAATTCATGAAATATTATACAATATCGGTGGCCCTGGAGGACATTATGCTGTGTGAAATATCTCAGTCACAAAAGGACAAATATTACGTAGGGCCACTGTTGTAAAACGGGACTGACATCAGGATTGAGGGAAGACTGAGAAAGAGGAGATAAATAATATATACTGCATTGAAACAGATAAGGGAGAAAACTGTTTTAAAAGGATGTAAGATTAGGTATTACTGTCATGAAAGGAGTCCAGAATGAAGGCTGAACAGTGGAGTGGACTTGTGGGGAGGAATTGTATAACAATGAAAGAATTTTTCTTGGGGGAGCTCTGGTGGCCTAGTGGCAAGAAGCTGCACTGCAGTCCCAGAGATGCACGGTTCAAATCCACCAGATGCTCTGCCGAGGAAGGAGGAACAATTTCCTCCTGTACCAGTCAGATTCGATTTGACGGTACACTACACAAAAATAAAAGAAAAATAAAGAAACTGGGTTTTTTTCTATTTAGTTAAATGTATGCATGATCTGATAAGCAAAGGTTCTGAAACGAGACTGCCGGTGTATAAAATCAAACTCTGCCCCTTAAAAATGGTGTTTTCCTGGGTGCCAGTCCGCTAGCTCAAGTTCCTCATCTAAAAAAAATCAATAATTGTACTATAATTACTTCAAATAAACACTAAAATGCTTATAATAAATGATAAAAGGTTAGCTATTCTTTTATCATTTCACTATGCTTTGAAATGGAATTTTACATTCAATAGAAAAATGAAATAGATTTCAAAACTTAAATAAGTCTAATGTTCTCATGGCCTAATGCCAAAAAGGTGCACTGCAATCCTGAAGGCACATGGTTTGAGTTCACCATCTGCTCCGTGGAAGAAAGATGGGTAATCTCCTCCGGTGCTATTGAATACCTCTGAAAACCTGCCGAATGGTCAGCTATGGGTTGATTCCTACTCAATGATACACAACACAATTCTAACTGA